TTTTGAAATTAGATGGTATTCAAATAGCATTTATACATTTAAACACAAATCTAATCGTTGAAATAAATTCTTCTTTGAAATGCTTTTTAATTGTTCATACTTATAGCGGCAATGCTCCTTCCATGTCCATGACAAGTGTATTCCAATAAGTTCAATTACGACGTCAGAGAATGAAAAAATTCATCAAATAATCTTTTGCCACACATTATAATCGCTTCGTCTCCAACGCCTGTTACGTACACATAAGGTTTTTTAAATCTGAAAATAAATATTTACAAACTCAAAATTTAACAATAATATCTTTTCATATCTTAAAATGTATATATATATATATATATATATATATATATATATATATATATATATATATATATATATATATATATATATATATATATATATATATATATATACATACATATATATATATATATATATATATATATATATATATATATATATATATATATATATATATATATATATATATATTTTTATAAATATATATATATATATATATATATATGCATATATATATATGCATATATATATATGCATATATATATATGCATATATATATATATACATATATATATATATATATATATACACATATATATATATATATATATATATATATATATATATATATATATATATATAAATATATATATATATATATATATATATATATATATATATATATATATATATGTATATATGTATATATATATATATATATATATATATATATATATATATATATATATATATATATATATATGTCTATATATATATATATATATATTTATATATATAAATATATATATATATATATATATATATATATATATATATATATATATATATATATATATATATTTATATATATATGTATATATATATATATATATATATATATATATATATATATATATATATATATATATATATATATATATATATATATATATATATATTTATATATTGTGGGAAATATTCTTTCAGAAAATTAAAGGAAATAAGCCAAAGAATGCTACAGAACTGTTTATATTGCTAGAAACTGAATGGAATAATATTTCTGTTAAGTGTTGTGTGGGTCTTGTTCAGTCAATACCAAAGTGCATTGCTGCGGTGTTAAAAGGCAGGCGCGGATATTTCGTATACTGATGACATTATTTAAAATACTCATAAAGTTATTTTACTGTGTTTAACTATAATGTTTTTAATAATAATGTTTGTAAATTAAAATTAACATAATGTTGTATATCTTATTTTTTGCTGCCTTATGCTGTAAATATACAGTGGCCTGGAAATTTTCTGTCGGTACTGTATATTCAAGTGTTTTTAAAAAATCATTCAAACTTACAGCTTTTTCTATAGCAATATGCCCGGTTATAGTCTTTTGAAAGTAATTTATTAAGTGTTTAACTTTTGTATCTAAAACACATTCCTTCTTTACTTAAAATATGATTTCAATACACTATTGTACCTAACTCTAACCATAAACAAACAAAAACCTAAAAATGCCTGGGATTGGCAATTTTTTGCTGACCTCGTTTTTATCTTTTATGGTAAAACCTTTTTTAAAATTGGCTTTATGTTTGGTAATCGTAATCTGATGCCCAGTTTAAGGTCGAGAATTTGTTACTTTAGTTTTACTAATTGTGAGGGTTGCGTATGCATGCATACTTACCTGTATTTGGGTGGCAGTGGGCGAGAAACTACCAACTTGTTTATTCCATAATGCAAAAGGTTGTCAAAGTCTTAAGTCAAGGTAATTCTTGCTGAGTCAACTGTGACAGAAGACTTTAATAAATGGGCTATGTTGCCAACAATCTGAAATAAATAATTAAAAAAAAAAGCATATAGTTTTAAAAAGCAGAGAAAAATTATAGAATAACCCATTAGAAGACATAGCAGTTTTGTAAAAATACCTTCTCACTTAAAAAAAGATTTGTGATTTTGAAACACTATTACATTTTATCCAATAAATATTTGAGATCACAAATAAAAAATAAAAATATCTTACCAATAGCACATTAGAGAAACTAACTTCATTGTTTCTCTAGCACATTAAAGAAACAATGAAGGCTTAGAATTTTTTTAAAAATGTTGCAACTATATCAACTCTCTCAACTGGAAATTTATTAACCTAGGTTATTAAATTAAAATTCTATACTGAGAACAATTAAAATGCACCAGTACTTTGTTCTGGTGCATTTTAATTGATCATGTTATAAAAATATAGATAAAAAATGTAAAAAAAAAAAAAATTAATTAACAATACTTAATATGCTAATTAAAAAGCATTGTTTTATTTACTTACTTTACTTTGCATGTATTTGGAAACTTGTAATTGCTAAAAAGAAAACACGCACATATGTCATATATGTGTGTATATATGCAGCATACACAAGGGTGTTTAGAATAATAATTAATACTAATCTAAAGTAAAAACCAAATGTATAATAATCAAAATAGCAATATTAAAACAATTATAACGAGGAAAGCAAGGTTAACAATAATTCTTATATTAATATTATAACAAAAATAATAATAATATTAATAAATATTAAATTTAATATTAAACAATAACATTATGTAATAGTATTATGAATAGTAAAAAAAAAATGCTGGTACTTTTTGGTCCAAATACTTTATTCATCACAAGTAAAATAAATAAGTTGCAATATTAATTTTTACAAAAATAAATTAAAAAAAAAACAGTTGCTATATAAAAAAAGATTATGTAGCTAAGATCCACTTTCATTTGAAAATCTCTGAAATTTCTTATAACTTTTTTGAACATGCACACCTAAGCATAACGCTCGTAATTAACTGTGCATAATTAAATATTTTGAAAATTTTGGGGCCCTAATGACAGCTTGGGGGAGGGGGAAAGGCAAGCGGAAGAGACAGACTCTTTAGCCATACAATAACTCCTTATATACAACATTCACTAGTCTGCCCTCTAATATATATATAAAACATTCACTAGTCTGCCCTCTAAAACTTCATTAACAGCTGCTTTCATCGTATCATGGTATAGCAACTTTTATTTCTATACCTAACCATTTAAAGATCTAAAAATTAAACAAAGAAGTTTAAACTAAAAAAATTGTTTCAAAAAAAGTATTTTAAATAATAATATTAAGTAAATTAATTGAAAATCTTACGTAAAACTAAATGCTCATTCGTGATGTTCTGCGATAAGACCGTAGGAACTTCTTGGACTTTGCCAAAATAAAATTTAAAAAAAACAAAAAACTGATTCGTTTAAAAATAAAACTTTTTTAATAAAAAGTTGTGTTAATTATACTTTGCAGCATTTGCACCAGGTATTTGATTGGTTGCAATTATACTCCGTAGCAAATATACTTCTAGGGTTTTTGATTATTATTGTTTAATCATGCTCAATAACTTAAATTAAAATGTTCTAAAAAGATTAAAACCTGACAATCTTGTCAATTTAAAAAGGTTTGATGAAACTTTATTGAATAAATTTAATAATAACAATAACAAAATATTTACGAACGAAGTCGTTTTGTTGATGGCACAATTAGAAGGTATAAATGTGCAGAAGTTTGTATCCCGTCTTACTTAAAAGACAATTAAACTTTACTTTTTCTTTAAAAATAATTACCCAGCCGGCATCATTACTTTGTTTCAACGTTGAAATTCGGTTAAAGCATTGTTTCAACGTTGTTCAACTATGTCAAAACGTTAAATACACGTTACGGTTTGAACTTTGATTATTTAACGTTATTTCAACGTTAAATCAACGTTACAGTTTAAACGTTGATTATTTAACGTTCTTTCAACGTTAAATCATTGTTGACAAAAAATACATTACACCTTTTCACAGTTCCGATATAAAATTTATGCGTGCGCAGAAATGGAAGTAAAAACGTAAACATTATTTCAACGGTTTAAGTTATAGAGGTTTATAATGGAAAAAAAATGTAAGTACTGAACTTATAATATATAGAATTTTTAAGAGATCGAAAACATGATCAGAAGATTTTCCTGAAAAAGCATTATCAGTGCTCAAAGGCTTATATTATTAAATGTAAATAATACAATTTTTTCAAAAAATGATCCATTAAATTATGTTGAATTTAATGTTAAGCGTTGTTTTATAAAAGAGCATCAAGAATTAAAAAAGAAAATTGATAACTTTATAAAGTTCATAATATATAGTTAAAAAAGTGTGAAAAAAATTGAAAACAACTTTTTAATGTAAAAAAATTAATTTTAAATGTATTTTTGAAAATTATTATTGTTTTTTTTTTAAGAATCGTTCGAACATACAAAAAGTTGAAGCAGGGAGGAAGGACTTAAATAGTCAGGAAATGATAGATGCCTGCAGTTCTGTTTGAATAAAGAAATACCGATAAACCAAGCATCAAAACATTTTAGGTGTGATAGGAGAGCTCTTTCGAAAAGAGTGAAAGGTGAACTATCTGTTGACTCTCACCCAGGACACAAAACAGTTTTAACTTCACAGCAAGAAAAAGAGCTGTCAGATTCCCTAATTTAAATGGCTGATTGGGGATGGGGTTTCAATAGAGGTGAAGTAAAAGATTTAATACAAGATTTTCTCAGAACAAACAGTATTGAAACACCATTTATAGATTCTCGACCAAGTAAAGACTGGTTGCACGCCTTCTTGCAAAGAAATCCCAAAATTACTCCAAGAAAAACTGAACACTTAAGTAATTCAAGAAGCCATGCTGAAAATCCTAAAACTATCAAAATTTGGTTCAATTTAGTAGAAAAAACATTTAAAAAAGCAGGAATTATTAACCTTCCTAATCAAATCTTTAATTCTGATGAATCAGGGTTTGTCACAGACCCAAAGGAGCAAATCGTATTAGCAAAACGAGGTGCTTCTCGAGTGTCGCAGAGCATGGTGGATCAGGCAAGGAGCAGATTACTGTAAATTGTGCATGCTCTGCTAGTGGACAGGTATTGCCACCATATATTAAATACAAAGTAAAAAGTTTGTATATGGACTGGGTTAGAGGTGGTCCTAATGGAACTGTTTATACTACCAGTAGTAAGGGCTGGATGGAGTGCCCCCATTTTTTAGAATGGTTTCTAAACATATTTCTAATTTATACAAAGCATCTTGCGAACCGCCAAGGTGTACTTATATTCGATGGCCATATTTCTCATGTTAGCTCCCCACTTATTGATTTGGCAAAAAAAAAGATGTTATTCTCCTACGCATTCCTGCACATCTTATCCATCTTCTTCAACCTTTAGACACATCAGTTTTTCGACCTGTAAAAAGTAAATGGCAAAGTTTGCATATAAAATATGCAAGAACACATAATGGACCAGTGTCGAAAAAATTTTTTCCAGGGCTACTACGTGCCCTTTTTCAGAGTTCCTTTACTATGGAACAATTCAAAAGTGGTTTTAAGGGAACTGGCATTTTCTCTTTTAACAAAGATGCTATTGACACACGCCTATTTAATCGGTGTTTTATGTTACTAGAAAAAAAAACTACATTCTCAACTAATCATCTTAAAAAATCATGCTCAATGCCTAATCTTCATAGCATTTGTGTTAACGATGCTCCCATTTCAACATCAGCATCTGCTTCATCATTACCAATTTCTACGTCGACTTCCTCTATCAAAGATTTTTTTTTTAAACAATTACATTCCAAATGTGTAGAAACCACTCATCCTTTAAGGTCTGCACGAGCTTTAAGATTTCGCTATGGTGAAAGTTTAACATCAGAAACATGTTTAAAACAAACAAGAGAAGAATCTTCAAAAAATCAAAAAAAAAAAAAAAAAAAAATACTAAAGAAAAAAAGACAAAAAAAAAAAAAAAAGACAGCTAAAAATGATTTTGATTATGATGGGAGCAACAACACTCTATGCCCTAATTGTGGTAGATGTGGAAATATTGGTGATCAGTGGGTGTGCTGCGATGTTTGTGACATCTGGTATCATTTAAAATGTACTACGATAACTGAATTAGATGATGTTAAAGTCATGGAGTTGAAGTGTAGCGATTGCTCTAAGCCTTTTTAAAAATATAAATTTAAAAATTATTGTTTTTAAATGACCCCTTTTTACTTGTTTTTTTTTTCACATAGTTTTATAATACTTTTAAATTCATCAAAGGTTTTTCATTTAATTTATTTATATAAATAATGTTTCAGTAATCTAAAATTATAATCAAGTAAAATATAATAACCTCCCCCCCCCCCAAAAAAAAAAGGGATTATCTAGTTCACAGGCTTAAGTTATCACAATATTATACATATTGAACATAAAGATAAATAATAGAACATAGAGATAAATAAAAAGTTAAAAAAATAAATAACTATTTAATTATTTTAAGGAAAGACATGCAAAACACAAGATATTAGTCTCAATAAGTTTACATAATTTGATACTGATGAAATAAACAGCAAATTATGTTTATTTAATTAATTTTTTACCCTAAAGTTTACTATTTGGTTCAAATATTTTTTCCTATAGATTTTATAAAGTAGCACTGCTTTTGTTATTAATAAGAAAATAATGCTACTAAAGAGATACAGACCATGTGGTAATGAGGGAGGGGGAGCTTTGATTTTTCAGTTTTAATGATTTGTTAGATCCTCACCATCTATAAAGAAAGGAGGGGGGCAATTTTCAGGTTTGACGATTTTCAAGCAGTCCATAATTTACATTTAAAGTGCTGCGTTAAATATATAAATTTACAAAAAAATAAAATTCAAATGTATTAGGTAGGGAGGGGGAGGGGGGAATCCATAGAGGATTGATGCGATTTAGTGTTAGTGAAGTATCACCATTAATCAAAAGAAGATAAAGTGATATTAAAAAAACATAAACTTCTGTTTTTTGAAATTTAAAGATATCCTTAACTACTTGGACCAAAATAAATGTAATGCAGCAAAGATGAATTTTTAATGATGCTAATACTTGGATTACTGACAGCTGATCTTGCTGACAGGTTTAATATATTTTTAGGATTAGCAAATGCAATATTTTTTTCATGGTTGAAAGCTTCTAGCTCACTTTTGAAGCACATGCTTTTTGTTCCAAGTAAAGATGTTATAAGACAGGCAATGCAAAACAGATTTTAGAAATTAAATTATTCAGACTTACACTAAATTTCAGATAAATTTCAGAGTTTATTATGGAAACACCTAAAAAATTTTGACTTACAGAAACTAACAGGGAATGAATACAAACATTACAACAATATAAAATCATTAGTACCCGTAGCTCCAAATTTATCAATAATTTCTTTAAAAAATTTCTAAAGATTACAGAAGCTAAATTTTGGATAAAGAATTTACAAATCGCAACAACTATTTAGATTTTATTACAAAATACTCTTGTATAATGTGTGAGTAAGGCTGTAATATTAGTTTTTTAATACAAATGAAGTGGTTTTAATTGAATCCATTTTTATCAGTCACTTAAAAAATATGATGAGTATTTGTATAATGATAATTAAAATTTCAAACAATAATATTAGCTTTACATGTTTTTTTTTTTAAATAAATCATTTGCAATTGATGGAATATCTTTAACAGACAGAATTCACAAAATAATGCTGAGGTAATCAAAATAATTTTTAATTATTCAAGAATTATTTAGCAAAAAAATTGTTTGATAATGAGTTCAATTTAAATTAAAAAAAAAAATTAATATTAGTTCTCGCATAATTAATATCAGTTCTCTTATCTATAAAAATTTAGAATATTTTTCAACAATTTTGTGATCTCCATGAATATGAAAGGGTGGAAATATGCTTTAAAAGCACTAATTTATATGGTGTAGTGAAAGGTATACCTTTATGAGATATGTAAAACTTTTTTATTCTCATTTATTATATATTTAAAAAGTTCTCCTTGTTTTTTTTTTTTTTTTCTAATTCTTTTTTATTAACAGCTTCTTCTTTTAAATACAATGGAGGGAATTTTAATTTTTGTTGCTTTAATATTTTAATTAAAAGTAGATATTACTGTGTCATATTTTGTTATATTGTTAGAGTTTATTTTTCACCGCGAACGGACGTGTTTTAAGAGCTTATTAAAAAATTTATAATAATGGCGAAAAACTTTACACCAGCACAACTTAAAGAAACCCTTGAAAATCACGAGAATACTATAATGAAAAATTTTAATGATCGGATAGAAAAAATGGAAATTAAATATAATAACTTAAAAAATAAAAACTTTACGGTAAAAAAAGAATTGTCTGAGGTACAGAAAGCTGTCGAATTTATAAGTAAAAGCTATGATAAAATAATAATTGAACTTACAGAATTAAAAAAAACAAAATCTAAAAAATCACCAGATGAAAGTAATATTGAAAATGGAACTAATAACATAAAAGAGAAAATAGCAGAACTAGAAGACAGAAGTCGTAGAAACAACTTGAGATTTATTGGGATTAAAGATAAAGCTAATGAAACTTGGGAAGAAAGTGAGCAAAAAATCAAAGACTTCCTCAATACAAAGCTTAATATACAAGAAAAAATTTTAATAGATAGAGTCCATCGAGTTGGAAAAGAAAACGGAAAAAACAGATCAATAATTGTTCGATTTCAAAACTACAAAGACAAAGCCCTAGTGTTAAACAAATATACGACGATGAAGCTATGGAACGAACGGTTGTACGTTAACGAAGACTTTAGCGATTTTACAATGGATTTACGCAGAAAGCTTTTCAAAGAAGCGAAAGAATTGAGAGCGAAAGGTAAGTTTGCTAAAGTAGTTTACAATAAATTAATTACGCGCGACCTATTATAAAGAAATTCTTTTAATATTCTATAATTAAATTTAAAAACAAAAATGGATGACTACGAATCCGTTACTTTTAATTTTCATGATAAGTACTTAAAACCAAATTTTAATTCAGATCCAGATGTCAACTTTTTTAATGATGTGAACACATGTTGTTCTTATTTTTATCCCAACGAGTTAAAAGAATTTCTTAATAAAAATGGCACTGAAAATCAAAAAATCAGAATCCTTCACATTAATACTAGAAGTCTAAATACAAATTTTGAAAAGTTTTGCGATTTTTTAGATGAAACTGAAAATATTTTTAACATAATTTGCATAACAGAAACGTGGATTTCTTTGAATGATTTTAAAAATAATTCTATTTTCCATCTTCCAGGTTTGAAACAATTTTATTAGAAAGACAAGCAAATAAACGCGGTGGAGGAGTTCTGATTTACGTTAAGGAACACATTGCGCATAACATTAGGAATGATAAGTGCGTTTCTGACGGTGATAAAGAAATCGTAACTTTTGAAATTTTAAACAATAAAAAAAAAAAATAGTATTCTACTAGCAGTAAGCAACCCGTAATACGGGTTAGTAGTAAATAAAGCATTACCAACAATTTGATATTTATTTACTTTCTCTAATAAAATAAAAATTTATTTATACAGAAAGCAACCCGTAATACGGGTTAGTAGTAAATAAATTATTAGTAACAATTTGATCTTTATTTACTTTCTCTAATGAAATATAAATTTATTTATACATTTTTTTAGTTGAGCTCATTTTTATTTTTCTTGGCTTCTTAGTTTAAGAGAACTCTTAGCTTTATTAAAGATAAAGTTAACCATTTCTTTTGCAATGTTCAGACATTGAATGCGCAAATCACAACCATGTAGTAGTTAAAAATGACTTGAATTATATGCACAGAATATCGATGTCAAATTTTCAAATTCCGTAAAATTGTTTAGGTAAATATTGGGAATTTATTCTACTCTAAATTTTTCTTTAAGCAGAGTCGTTGCTTTTTTTTTTAAACTTTTTATTTTACTGAGTGAAGAGCTTAAAAATATGTCACTATCGCACCTAAACTTTTTAGTGTTATTAATATACTTTATAAATATTTTTAAAACATCTAAAATATTACACCCAAACTTGTAGGCATAAAAGTTGGATATCCGGAAAAACTATAAGTTGAAAACTATATCGCAATTCCGAAAAGGGCTCTTTTAGCCCTGCATACGGATCCTATATTATTATGATAAAGATTATTATTAAACCAACCTTTTTTTTTATTAGTAATTCAGCAGAAACTTGTTTATAAAAAAACGATAAAAGAATATATGAATTTACTTTAATAGCAAACGTGTATCAACATATTTACTTCAGCATACATTTATACTAATTTTATAAAATGTCCGGAATACATTTTGCCTTAACTTGGCGTTAAATTATTAGTTGTATTTCATTAATTTTTGTATAGATCAGGTTAATAATAAAGCAATTGGATTTTACTCAATATTTTTGAAGTAATTATTCAGCTATAATAAAATTGATAAAATCATATAAGACAGTTAAAAAATATATTTAAACCATAGATCACTTTTTGAAAATCCGTAAAAAAGCAAGTATCAAGTTTACATATCTTTAAAAGAAATTTATTTACATGATATATAGTTAAATATGTAACAAAAATATTTTAAAACAGAAGCATATATAAAACACATTTCTCTTAAAAAAACAAAGTTGAAGCCACCATTTACAGCACCGAGGAGCCAAGCATAGCCTATTGTAAAGAAAACAATATCAAATAATTTAAAATATTTATTACCGATAGGGACGACAATTAAACATATTTAAAAAGCTACGTGATTCCATATTAGTAGGATTGTTATAGAAAAGTATATTAAAAAACTATATTTAAAAAAAAGTGTATTAAATAGAAAACAGATTTTTAAAAACTACCTAATTTTGTAAGCATTTTGCCAAGGTGCTCAATTTTGAAACCAATATCTTTAATGAAAAGCCGACTTGTTTAACTAATCTCATTCAAAGAATAAAATTAATTAACACTTAAAGATAAAGAAAAAAAAAAAGAATGAGATATAAACAATCGTACTATAGTATTATATAGATAAGTAGATATATATAAAAAAAAAAAAAACAACAACTGGAAAACAGTATACCTGCTTTTGGTAACCTATTGTGATACTGCAGCAGTTCTTTTTGGTGTTGTTCAAAAACGTAATTTTTATGTTGGCTTTTAGTAAACTTTAGTTTAATTTAAAAGACATCACAACGGATTTAAAATACTCATAATAATAAAAAAATGAGCCCTCCATTTAAAGGAGGGCTCATCCATTCCGCCATTATGTTTCCATTTATTGAAGGACCTCTCTGAGAGAGGTCCCGGGTGTTGGGAGCGGTAATTTTTGTATTCTTCGAATGATAAGGAATCTAAAGTTACAAATAGAAGAATATAATAAAAATTATACATTTGCAATTATTAAAAAAAAAAATTAGCATAACCTCACCATTTTTATTCAAAACAGAAGATGCTAAAAAAAAAAAAAAAAAAAGAGAGCAAATTAATAAGGGTTAAAAATGCAACATTTTGTATTTTAATAAATATATACAGCAATAATGCAACCAGTTCAAAAGTGTCATATTTATTAATTAATTTTTCTACCTATTGCACATATTTCTCCATACAAAACATATAAAATATAAAACACAGCCCTACCAGCTATACTTCCACCAGACTCTAAAGACAAATATATACTTGAATAAATATACAATAATCGATAAAATAATGTTAACATATAAATATATACATATCTAAATAATTGTTTTACCCATCCCCCTCATTTCATCCATAAAGTTGTCTAAAGTAAGGAAAAAACAACTAAAGCTAAAAACAAAACTATAAACTAAACCAAAACTATAAACTAAAGTAAACTTTAAATCTTCTAAATATTAATGCTTTATTTATTAAACTAAACTAATCATAATTTATACTTAGTTTTTGTTCCAACTCCCCTAAAAGAAAGTATAAAATAAAGCTAAAGAACTTGATTTTTTAAAATTCCAGTTAACATTATCTCGATCGAGCCTATTTCTTTCGTTTTGGCGACGATTAACGTTTTCTCAATTAAGCCAATTTCTTTCATTTTGTAAATGATTAATTTCATCTTGCCTAAGTCTATTTCTTTCACTTCGTCTACGACTATTTTCAACACGCCTTATAGCACTTACATCATTTTGTAAATACATAACTTCATCTAGCCTATCATTCATTTTAATGTCATCATTTTGATTAAACATATTTATCAAAGCAACACAAATTATTTCTTTTTTTTACTACTCTAAAGTTAACAATAAAATAGAAAAACTTAATAAATAACTAAAAAAAATCTTACTCAAAAAATTAAAAAAAAAAATTCTCAAAACAAATATGTAAAGAATCCAAACTAATGCATAACATAATTAAAGTAATACAGGTTACTTGAGTTTATTTGATAAAAGTTAAGAAAAACCTGCAACCATATTAGCAAAAACTTAATACAAAAAGTTAAAATTTATTCTAATAAAGAAAAAAAAATTTAGAAACAAACAACATATCTTCGCAGACAGCGTCATAAGGCATGTGTTGGGAGAAAACATTGAACAAAATGTGTAATAAAACTTATTAACGCGTTATGTACAATAGAAAACGGGTCGTAACGCAGGTTTATAAATTTTTTCCCCCAACACACTATTACGCTGCCGCAACTCCAAGGATATACATAGTTATTATATATATATATATATATATATATATATATATATATATATATATATATATATATATATATATATATATATATATATATATATATAGAACTATTTCTTAGCGAAAACATATGAAAACCAAAATTTTTTATATAACATATATAGTATATTTGATAAACAAACCTCTACTTTTTTTTTGGTTCAACAACTTGATTATAATTAATAACAACTCTGTAAATATAACTTTTCTAATGATCTAAATCTTTATAAATTAGATATTTTATTTTATATCTTAATTTTAAATTAAATAAATTATATATATCTTAGCTATAAATTAAATCTTTATAAATTAGATATAAATAGAAAAACAAACATATAATAACACAATTATATCCTAAACCAAAATTCAATCATGCAAGGCAAATTATTAAACTTTTTGAAAAGAAAAAAAACATATTTTTTTTCAAAGAGCAAAAGTATTAACAATACTATAGATAAATTTTATTTATAACAAAATGTTGTCATGGCTTTTATCCCAATTATTAAAAGCATTTGAAAGCATGAAACTACCCATAAATATCTTTTAATGGTAGACACCATCTAAGAATTATAGTAATCTATATTTTCAAAATTGACATGTATAACACGAAGCTTTAAATTTAAAAGTACAATTTAAAAAAGATTACAATAAACTAATTACTTATAAAATTTAAAAAAGATTTTATAAATACTCAATGTCTACTTAGACATTTTGATAAAAAAGATTACGATTTTGAAAACTTGAAACTTTAAATTTTAAAAAACTGAAACTTTAATTCTACCTCAAAGAAAACAGATATATATTGAAAAGTATTTTTATTTCTTTTTAAAAATTTAAAAATGCTTTTAAACTTACTCCCTCCAATATAATTATATAATATATATAGTATATATGATAAATAAACCTCCAGAATTTCCTTTGTTTAACAACTCGATTATGATTAATAACAACTCTGTAAACATGAATTTTTTAATAACCTAAATAAATTTCAGATAGACAAACATAAATAACACAATTAAATCCTAAGCCAAAATTCATTCATGCAAGACAAATTATTTTATATTTATTGAAGAGCCAGAAACATATTTTTTTTTCAAAGAGCAAAAATATATCAAAATTTTCAATAAAAATTAAATTAAGATAAATTTATAACAAAATATTGTCATGGCTTTTATCCCAATAACCAAAACTATGTGAAAGCATGAAACTACCCATAAATATATTTTAACGCTAGACACAATCTAAGAATTAAAGTAATCTATAACACGAAGCTTTAAATTTAAAATTACAATTTAAAAAAGATTACAATAAATTAATTACTTTTAAATTTAAAAAAAATTTGAGATTACCTATAATTTTAAGCTACTAAACATTATCTACTTAATGTCAACTTGGACATTTTGAACTCGTACCATGAAAAGTTGAAAGGAAACCTTTAAGAAAGCACGCGGTAAAGAAAAGTCTAGAAACTACTTAAAAAGTGTATTTTACAGATAGAGAACCGTACCGTAACTATAAAACAATACGCGTAACTATGCGCACTATAAATAATAATAATAATAATATTCATTCGGCTACTCATTATAGAGATTAAGCTGCTGTTATAGACCACCTGATGGTGCGTCTGAAAATCTTAGTTTTTTTTTACAGCAAAATATCATTCACAAAGGTTGCAAAGAAAACAAAATTA